CTCTTTCAGCCTTAAGGACCATAAGAGTATATTTAAATATCATATTTCATACGAAATTAAGAACACATTGGTCCCCAAGTCCCAACCAAAGTATAGTTTCAATCTCATTAATAACTTTTTTTTGTCCTCGTGACATGCACAGATTCTCGGCTTCTCATAGAATAAGATTTCTGAGAGATTATGATGCCTTTTTTTTTTTTTTTTTGCCAATTATTCTCCTCTAGTCCTTTTTATTTGCACCCATTAATTAACTTTACTCTCTCTAGTTTCAACTCCTTCTAGTCTCAATGTAAACTTTGACGACTAAATGCATACTTTAAACCTATAAAATTTATGCTTAATTGATGGTTGCTTTAATGTGAATTCCAAATTTCTCATTCATATACTTTATTTAAGGATGGATTGTACAATAACTTAATGAGTGTCTTCTATTTATTGAACCATAAAAAAAAAATCCAACAAATATCTTATACTCAAGAATATTGATTTGATACTGACTGAGTTCTCTTGCTACAACAAATTATTAATTATATCTAAGCGAGAACAAATGTAATAAAGCCTAGGATGCCAAATTGATTAAACAGGATTCTCTGCAATCTCTGTGAACTGAATACACATAACACACCTTTAATTAACTTCATTGCAGATCATGTCCGTGGATTATTTACATCCTCTTTGTTTAATAACGGTTTTTATTTTATATATCATTCTTCTTATTTTAAAATATTTAAATTTAGATCGTATGAAACGCACAATAGATTTTTATACAAACATAAATAAGAAACTGAAAAAATTAAAACAACTGAAGTTCAATTTACTTAAATTGTCATTATATTTTTAGTTTCAGTTAGATATTATATTATTCAGCATGTGTTTCGAAACCTATTGATATTAGTGAAAGCATCTTGATCAAAAAGCGAGAATTGCTTTACTGCAAAAGTTGTAACGTTGGGTTTTCAAACACAGCCTTGGACAATAATATTGCGTTCCAAATTAAGATATTTACTTTAAAAGAAAAGGACCTTTTGATCTTACAATTTAATCTGAAAATTTGATAATTAAGTTGGAATTCGTCCATAAATTTATGATGTCATTAATGAACAAGTGAGAAGAGAGATGCAGGTTGGGTTATTTAAATACTTATAACCAAGTTTTAGGAAAATCGAAATGAAACTCATCTCATGTATTTATTTTATATTTTATAAATCACAATTGAAAAAAATACTTATAAGATACTGCAAACGAGCCCTGAAAATGATTAAGTACAATTACATTTTGATCTTGCATATGATTAACTATTCTTAACTGTAGGTTCATATATAACAAACAACAACACAACTTACAAGACATTGAAGAAGAAGAAGAAAGAGAAAGGATCACGAAGCTTAATTTTATATAAGACATAACACAAAGGGGACTTTATACATAGCAGAGCTTGAATTACATGAAGAGAGTTTTAGGTTGACGATGATGATGTTGATCTGGTCCAAAACGAGAAGAGTATAAAGTTCCAGAGAAGGTGATTCCAATAGGAACAGCGAAAGTGGTTTCCATGAAAAGCCTCTGATGAAAAACCTCAACGCTACTTCCTGCTTCCGCCATATCTTTCACCAGGTTCCTGTAACACTCCTTCAGCTTCTTCTTCACCATGTAAACGTACTTCAGCTTCACCTTCATCTTCCTGAACAAGTTCACCAGCGCCACCATCCTCCGCCGCGGCTTCTTCCCCCCCAGCCTCTGCGTCTTCACCCTCCGACGTCGCCTGAGCGGGAATCCACGGCGGCGCTGCCAACGCCAGACCCTGCTCACACCAGCCTGCTGCTTCTTCTGATCATCACCTTCAGGATTATGAGCCATGAGAGGGAATTATTAATGAATGGTTGATGGTGAGAAGGTTGAGCACTGTGAGAGTAGATATGGTTGAGTGAATAAATAGGAAGAATATTTGGAAATGAGGGTGAACATGAAGAGTGTGAGAAGGTTTTGGAAAGACACGAGTAAATGAGGGTACAGACCACGTGGTGACGGGTCGTTTTGAGTGATCCAGGGTTACCCTAAAACACCAAACATGGGTATCTACAGCACTTGTCACATGGGATTTCCCAGGATTCCTGCTGGTTTTCATCAACAGACTCTCCTTTATCTGTCATCTTTTCAACCCAGAAGTTTAAAAGAAGTGAACTTTCTGTTATATCTTTGGTAACCCACCTGACCTTCTGCGTCTCTGTTATAAACTATGATTTAATTTAATGATACAAGGGTAGTCATCAAATGATGTTGACCAACCTGGCTACTTATCAATAAGATAATAATAATTAGTGTTGGTGTGTTGCTTTGATTAATCAAGTAATAACCTCGGAAGAACAACATTCTGATTTTGTTTGTAGTTATATATATATATATACTGATCGACATATCATTGTAATGACATGCCTCCCACAACACCTTAATTTTGGTGGGGGCTAGCAAGCTTATTTAGTTTTTATAATTTTGGTGGGGGCTGTCATTAATTAATCCAAGTAATCCCTGAGTGTAAGGCTTTAGTTTTTATAATCTATCTCGCAATTAATTTATAACAAAATTGGACTATTTAATTTATAACAACCTTGTTGATGAGTAAACATGACTCTTTCTTTATAATAAATACTACTTCGGCTTTATATTATAAACGTTTCTTTGAGACTGATTCAACAATCACATAAAGGGAGCGTCTAATACCTTCGCTAAAACTGGAATTCTTTTGAGTGAAGCTGCTTAATTTATGGCTTTAGCTTATTAGAGTGCGTATCAATGTATATGCAGTGTCTTTTCCTAGAGGGAGGGAGGGAGGGAGGGAGTAAAATGCAATTTTAAAATCTGTAACCAAAAAACAAAATCCTTTGATTTGATCCGCAGATGATGTGCAGAGATGGAAGAACATGATTTGCTGAGAAACCATATCATTGATTTACTTAATTAATGATTGTAACTTCACACTATTTAGAAAGAAGAAAAGTATAGCACTTATTATTGTTGTACTCTAATCACATATGTTCTAGGGATTTGTCTCAACCTCATGGACCCATTTTATCAATTTGAGAAATCTGACAGCATGTTAAACTTTAGCCAATTCTTCTGTTGTAAGAGTAAATATGAAAATTTTCTGTTTCTTTTTTGTTTTCCTTACCGATGATTTAACACATTGAAAATTTGACATTGCTTTTCCGAATAGGATCAAGAGCCCTTCTAGCTTCGCAAGAATGGCAACAGTCTTTGACACTGTTGGTATTAGAGTTTCTTTATTTCTTCTATCACTAAGTTAACAATATTTGCCTTAAAGTCAAATGCATCTGCTTTTCTTCATTCCATGTCTTTGTTTATATAGTTGCACTGAATACAATCTTTTAAAATTAATTCAGGTAAAATAAAAAGATATGAGGGCGGGGGAAGTAGAATCACCTTTGCAGGACTTTAATAGATGAAAGTTTAATAAAATTCAATTTCAATAATCCTGGCTGGTTGCAAATAAATATGTTGTTGTGTGGGGGAGATTTTGATGGCCACTGTAATCAATCAGTGGCTTCACAGACTTGAAGCCGACATGCTGTGGATTCTCAGATGTCTTTGATCATCAAAAGTTTAGAAGTTTCAATAATGCTGATATCCAAGTTGTCTCTTGTCTCTTCACCTAGTCCCTATTTGTCCCTTCAATAATGTTCAGCTTCCACAAATTCAGAAAGGAAATACAATCATGTTATAGTCATTTGGTTCAAATAATTGAACTACACTGCTATTTTCACCTTCATTTGCCTCAGTTCTTCCACTTCTCAATAAGCAATACGTGGCCTTTTCAAATGGGTGTGCAGTGATTTTCCTTTTCTTATAATTATATTGGCATTGATTTGAGGCCGCATTATGATCCGACCACGGATCAAACCCATATACAGACAGAAGAACCTGACACAATGTACACAGTACACATGCTTTCTCTGTCACAGCCACTGATGTGTGTCAGGTTTTCTTGATTACTGTTTCGTACGTAGTTTCCTTCAAATTCACGTTTTGCTTCCTTCGACTTTCATGCTTCATGGATAAGATTTCTTTACTGAAAGGAGAAATGACACAGGGACACTATCTATTCCTGCACACACTTCTGCTGAGAAAGGAAAGCGAATAAAAAGCTGAAGTGAATTTTGACTTCAGGAAAGTATGACACACACAACTTGAAGGTAATACTGTGTCACTGCTGGCGTTCATGTGGCCATGTGACTTAGTGGCACGGTTCATCTCACTTCTCATGGGTGTTTAGATCATGAGTTTAGTCCCATCTGATACTGCTTGTAATAAAAGCAATAATATTGAGTGTTTTCATGTTCTATTAAATTCCATTCTCCATTTCAGGTTTACTAAATTATCTCGACAGCATTAAAGAAATGCCACAAGATTAGTAAATTATATTAGCCCGTACAGATCTTGTTTTAGTTTAAGATCCGCTGAAATTCACAACTACCTCCCCAATTCACCAGTGTGAAAGCGCAGCCATGTATCAGAATTTTGAGACAAAAAGATGGCAAACAAGAATCACTTTTATGAGGCCCTATCATGTTGTCTATGAACGAACAGAGACGAACAATTAAAATTTAAGCATTAAACATCTGATCTTTTATGGATTTCTATGTTTTCCTGTCCACAAATGAATGTCGACAGTCATTTGAGTTAAACATGAATGCGTGGAGTTATAACTTATACTTCCATAAAACCTCTTAAAATCAAGCAAAGTAACATCTTGTGTTTATTTGGGTCAGTCATTTTATTACATGTCGAAATCTTCCGTGAATATAAAGCATTATCACCAATCAAATCACTTGAATTTACGGTTTTCTCTAGTACCATAAAAGTTTCCTAAACTGATCATCGCCACATTTTTTTCCAGTCATCTTGCAGATGCACACGCACATACAAACCTGGTCAAAGACGCAATAACAGAAACCAAACAGGGCCTTACACCATAGGTGACGTGCTAGTTAAACAATACTAGTGGAGAAGGCACATGCAACTTTTGCACAGGGTAACTGCAAACCTAACATCCAGAATTAGTACAAAGCTTATTTCAAGTCTTAATGACTATTTCACTCCTGATAAGTTATTAGCAAACCCTTCATCTACCACAATCTCACAGCAGTGGATGAGATTTGCATCCAACAGAACACCCAATAAAGATATTACACTTTGTACAATAGAATATGAGAGAGGTTTCAAAGGCACAAAGCCCATAGAAACCTGTGCTTGACGTACTCCAATGCAGCTCCCCAACACCTCCTGAAGGCAATTCATATGGATGAAGACAACCCATTGGTCCATCTCGCAGCAATAGGACTCCTTACATTGTGGCTTCCATCACTCCATTCAATCGAACCATAACTAGCAGACTTGGCATACCCAGGTACTTTACCAAAAGTGATCTCATAACTCTGTGTCTTGTTTTCAGCACTGAATACAAGCTCGCTTGGTGAGACACTGACTTCAACACCAGGAGGAGCATTCACTTTCACTTTGTAAACAGCATCTTCTGAGCTACCAACGTTGGTAACAACTCTTCTATACTTCACCAAGTCTTCGTCAGGATAAAATTCCACTGAGAAGGATGGGTAGTTCAAATCACCAGGACGAGTCAAGCTTCCTGTCCTGGATAGTTTTCCTCCACAAATGTCTAAACTAGCAGGCTTTCTGATGAAAACGGAAATTCTACTAGGATCATACCCAATTGAGCAAAGGAAAGCCAAATAGTCATTTGTATCCGAATCATAAACTAAGCCAGGATTTAGAGCCCTGTTTGGATCAACATGTCCAGCCCCATGAATGAAAGGGGTCGATTCTCTCCCACTTCCAAGATCCCGAATGTTCTTCCCAGAATTATCCACATTATAAGCTGTTGTCATTAAAGCAGATTTTACAGCAGCAGGTGACCATTTCGGATAAGCCTTCCTAAGCAAAGCTGCAATACCACTAGCATGAGGGCAAGCCATTGAGGTACCTGATATTATGTTAAACTCAACTCTTCTAGGGTCAATGTCCAAATCTGTAGGACCTACACTTCCCGTCCACCCAGCCAAAATATTAACACCAGGAGCTACAACATCTGGCTTAAGAATCTCAGGTGTGACATGGTTTGGACCACGGCTAGAAAAGGCTGCAACTTTAGGAGCAGCTGGTGAATTCCCAATTACAGTCCCCCTGAACACTATTGTTGCTGTTGGATAATCACTCGATTTTATGTATTCCCTGATTTGGTCTCCGGCAATTTGACCCACCATAGTTGCTGCTATAAGGTGTGCATCCGCAAGAAGTTCTTCTCCACTATCTTCAGTATTAGCTAAAATCATTCCTAACCCACCTGCAAGCTTCACTGCACTTCCTTTCTCAACCCTGGCATTACCTCCTCTATCACAAACAACAATTTTCCCTTCGACTTTAGAGCGATCAAGAGACCCCATGTAGCAGTATCTGCTTCCGCAATCAGCAGCATAGACCAGTGGAAGTTTGACGTCTGGTAATTCATCACCATAGTACAGAGACACCCCACCAAGAATCTTACCGTTGCCTAGAACCACATCAGCTGGAAATTCTCTGTCAATAGTAGAAGCACCGACTGTCAAGATCCAAGGAGCTATGTTCACAGAAGTGTATGAACCGGGACCAGAATTGCCAGCTGAACAAGACACAAGAACACCGTGCTGAGAAGCACCAAATGCTCCAATCGCTATGGAATCGTGATCGTATTGCGGTGCATACCCAGTGGCTCCAACAGAAAGGGAGATAATATGGACCCCATCAGCAATTGCTTGATCCATGGCAGCAAGGATATCGGAATCGAAACAACCCAGTTTCCAGCAGATCTTATACGCAGCAATCCGCGCTTTTGTGGCCATTCCTCGAGCTTCACCTTGAGCGTAGTGAAACAAACTCGCATTTGCGACCACAGATCCAGCAGCTGTTGAAGCAGTATGAGTCCCATGGCCTTCTGTATCTCTCGGAGATTTCGATTCCACTGACTCGTCAATAGGTCTCTCCAAATAAGCTTCATATCCCTTATAGAAAACTCTAGCACCAATAATCTTTCTATTACAAGCAGAAGCAGGGAAATCACGACCCGTTTCACAAGCCCCTTTCCAGGTATTCGGAACAGGGGAGAGTCCAGAATCTGAGAAACTACGTCTTTCCGGCCAAATCCCTGTATCCAGAACTCCGATCACGACATCATCGGCGTAATCGCCGTTCGGCCACAATCCAAAGCCATCAGTCAGACCGAGAAAATCAGGGGTATGTGTGGTGTGGACATGGCGGATTTGATCCGGGACAACAGAGAGGACGCCAGCGATGTTGCTAAGCTCAGTCGCTTGAGAGGCAGCAAGGCGGACTGCAAAGCCGTGCACGGCAGAGTCGTAGGTATAGAGGATTTTGGCGGGATGAGAGGAAGGAGGGAGGGATTTGACAATAGAAGAGTACCAATCACGATGGGAGGAGTAAAGTTTGGGTTTTGATGATTTAGAAACGTGGACGATGAATGTTTGTGGAGACTCTGAGGATGAGTATGAAGAAACAGAGAAGAAAACAAGAGAAAGGAAGAAGAAGAAAGAAAGTAGGCGAAGAGTGACAACAGCCATAGGGGTCGGATTTGTGTGCTTCTTGGTTACTTCAGCGTTTGGTGATGCAGCGTCCTCATAATATATGCGTTCTTTGGATTTTATGGAGGGATGGCCACTGATCGTCGCTTACCAGGATTATCAACAAGGGAAGATGCGGGTGAATCTTCAATCCTTGCTTGCTCCAGAGGAATACGTGATTGTATAATGACAATACAAGATCCTATAGTTTGGGAATTCCTGAATAAGACTCTGACAATAAAATTACCTGATTGCCAAAAATCAAATAACATTGTGGTGATTTATTCCCTTTTTAATCAATATACTAGTATTATTATCAAAGTACCATATAATATCAATCAAATCAAATCATATATTAGAAAAATATCGTTTACAATTTTTTATTAATTTTACTGATAATAAGTCGATAGAAAGTTATTATTGAAAAATCAATATTAGATAAATTACAAAATTCAATATGAAACATTTTAGGAAAAAGGGTGATCATATAATTTTATATGATTATTAAAGTTCAAAAGTTGTTTGCTGAAATTTAAAAAAAATTGAAGTCTCAAACTAAAATTAAATTGATGCAGGAGTCCTAACAGGTTATTCCTTAATAATAAAATATAATAATAGAAGTCAATATAGTTAGCGGGACAAACTTTGAAGTCTATTTGGGTACAATTTATCCTTTGCAGAGTACACCAATTCTGCCACAGCCTCCCTGGACAAGACGTATGTGGCTATAAAATATTACCTCTGACATTTAGAAACGAAACCTTATAATTAAAATCGGAAGTAGTATAAGGTCACAATAGTATAATGTAGTATTTTATGGGCCCTACTATTCACATGGAGCATTTTATTGATTTCCATGTATTGTGCGTGGCGTGTAAAAAATATTTTTTAAGTGGTTTTCATGAAAAAAGTTTTTAAAGAATTTTGTTTGAGTCATTAAATATTACCCAAAAAAAGCATAATATTTGAGAAAATTAAAATAATGTTGTGCAACAGAAAAGATATAAGGTCTATTTTGAACAACTTATAAATAGTTTTTTAATCATGATTTACTGAGAAGTAAGAATGTGAAAAGAGTTTTGTCTCGACTTACATAAAATGTACTTATAAAATATTTTCCCATAATCAGAATTCAATAAATGTCAGTATATAAAGAATTTCAAACAACTTCTTAGGGGTGTTTAGATACCCCAATAATCACTTTTCAGAAGCACTTTTTCATAAATCGAGACAAACTCTTTTATATATTTATCTTGTATACTATAAAAGTATTTTTGAAACTATGATTTTGATCTTATCCAAACACTTTTTTTAACAATGTAGTTGGAATAATTTATAACCAGATTTTTGATGTAAGTATTAAAAATAGGGGAGTAATAACCAGCGCGCGTTGGCATAACTGGTAAGGGAGTTGTGTCCCTTAACCATCGCCTCTGGGGTTCGATTCCTGGAGGGATAGGAATGGAGCAAACGTGCCTGGAGGGTCACCCCATCTTAGACTTGACAGTACCTGAGGGATTAGTCATTAGACTCGTTCCGACAGATATCCTGATGAAAAAAACAAAAAAAAAAACAGAGGAGTAATAATTTGGTAAGAGAGGGAGCGACGTGAGCAGTGGGCGGCTATCACGAGGTGAGTGGAGATTGAAGAATCTTAAATCCGGTGGGACCAAGGAGGAAGGTTCAGGCAGGCAGCGGCGCGACCCACGTCGGTCCCACGCATGGGCACCCTACCCCACAACCCCAATCAACCTTGACTTTTTGTCGCTTCAGATCAAAGGGATCCGTCGGGTAACGTTGCATTTATTTGTTTGTTTCATTTACCAAATACTACAAGCGGGGCCACAAAAAAGCAGAGATAATGACACAGCCTCACTCTATCTTTGATCAATTTCCTCCAACAAAGTCTTTGACTAAGCCTTCTTCCCGCTCTACTGGAAACTTCCCAAAAAGCAGAGATAATGACACAGCCTAACTCTATCTCCGGCAGCGGTTAACGAAGAAGATCTTCCAAAAACATTTATAAACATATTTTATGTTTATCTTATATTTTTAATTAAAAAATTATTTATAAGTTATTTTGAAAGGTCTCAATAATAGAGGACTTTATCTTAAATATCTCAAATCACATTTTGTGTCATTCGTCGTCTTCTTATTATTATTTTATTTTGGAACCACTGCATGAGATTTTTTGTCCTCGAAGTAATTCTGTTTGACGTTGAATGTAAGAACTTTTTTTTGTTGTTGTAAGGATTCAAACTTCCATGTAACATATTATGAGAAATTAATTTATTTTGCTAGACTATACCTTTGTAACAGTATGAGATTTTATTTTGACTCAGGAACAAGTTATAATAATAATCTTCACTACAACAAAAAAGTACAAGTTATATACTAACAAGTTGTTAGATGACATGGTAGTAGCTTTACTCTCATAGGAAGGAGAATACAAATTTAAATCCTGAGAAACACATTTATTAGAAGGATTATTCCTTAACCTCTTTAGATTCGAAAGGGATTAGTTTCAAATTCAATATAACTTAGAAATATTCTTGCTTCGCCTAAAAAAAAAAGTACAAGGCTAAGCTCAATACTTGTTGACCTGTAACAAGAAGCTCCGTTGTGGTTAATTTGTATGCAGCAAAAGTAACACGGACAGTGAGAACATGAATAATTGATCAGAATGTTATATTTCAAACATATATCCCCTCTTCAATTTTATTTTAGCCGTATACACATTGCTATCTCACAATATATGTTGTATGTACTTAACTTTTGATAAAATTAAGTTACAGTTATATTGACGAAAAGCCAGACTAGAAGGCTTTTTGATGAAAAAATTTGCCTAGGACCATATCCAATGGAACCACATGGTCCTTGGTGTCCAAATCACAAACCAGCAGAGCAGAGGATATGGAGATTTAGAACCCATTGAAAACCATGAACGAGGCCGACCCAAAAGCATTGTTTTGGACCACATGAAACGTCCCAATTAAAAGGAAAATACCCCCTCTGCTTCCTATATGTGAGACACAGTTTTTGAGGTAAGCATGATCCTCTTTAGAAGATGCATTGCCATTTAAAGGATGTCTGAAATTTTAACCGAGGTTTTGACATACATATTTCAACTATCTGTATTTTATACATAGGGACCAGGAGGGAGTATTCATAAACTGACTCTGTCTATTGTTGGTCAATGGTTATATGATCCATACCATAAAACAAGGAAAAGGCAAGTCCCACACCTTTTCCTCTTTCCTTCACAATCACATTACTTCGTTGATCTACTCTCCTATCCCTCCACTTACTAATTTTTAGCAAGTTAACACCAAAAAGGCTCACCAATTGCCTTTTTTTTTTTTTAAAGGGTCACTTGATGAACTTTACTCTGCATTACAGGTCACGCCATGAGAATTACACAAGACAGAGCGTAACATTCCTTAAAGTTAAAACACATGAAGCTTGCCTTATGAGTCACTTGTTTCTCATTTCTCCCTAAAAAGTTCAACTGTTCCTGCGGTAGCAAGTGTTGTTTTTAACGTGACCAACTTTGGGCAAAAGATCAGAAAGAGTAAGTTGGATGGGATCACATTCGGTGACACAAAGGTCATGGAAAAAGAAAGACTTTATGCGTTTCTCTCTCTTATGTTTTGCAGAAGCCAAGGTCCACCATGCACACACACTTTCATGCATTTTACAACTTTCTTTCTGGCAGTCAGAAAACACCAATTCTGTCTGTGGTTAACCTCAAATCATCTGAAATATCAATTCATGGAATCAAATCAAGCATAAAATCTTGTTCTATCTTTAGTGCATGCAGTATCTTTATATAAAAACCCCTAAACTAATCATACAAGCCACTTGGATCTCCCTCCACTTTACATTTCTCATGCACAATCATTCTTTCCTTTCTGGTATTGCATATAATTATTCTTATGGGCCTTCTGTGTACCATTTTCTGTCATCTATACAGTTTAGTTTCAGTATGCATGAGGCTTCGTAATGTAGATTTTGAGACTAGTTTATGCTTTACCGATCTGCTAAGAATTTTACTCAAATTTTATTTTGCAGTATCCCAACAAGAGATTTCAGAAGATATGATATGATATAGCAGACAACTTGCAAGCCTCATTGTTTGTCATACATGGCATGGGAAGATACACTCCATCAAAGTATTCTATTTTGCAGATTTGCTATATATATACACAACAGAGACATCTATTATTCTCTTGTCCTTGATGGAAGTTGAACGGAAGGCGACATTGGCACCTTGAAATGCGAGATTGAATGTTAATTAAAAGAAAAATCCGGAAGCTACTGCAAAGTTCAATGCACTGAGAGGCTAAAAAAAACATACCACCCAAATTAATATCACCAATGATTACTGGTTTTTGCCGGCTTGGAGAACTCAATTATTGATATTTCTTTAGTATAAAAGAATCATAACTGATTTTGACCATATTCAATCACAGTTTGCTTGAACACAAGGTTTATTCTATTCATTATCAAATTAGTACAGAAAACAAGGTAGCTGGTACCAATGAAGCAATATTTTATATTGTAGTTCAAGCACATCAAAGCTCTGTACCAGCACAAGCTACATCTATATATAAATGAACATCTAGCTTCAGCTTGACCTTTTTATGTCTTTAATTGCCATTATTTTGCTTACACTTCTGACCAATCAAATGCGTATTTCCCCTTTGCAGCGACTTGTTTTATTCCCATCCCATACCTTCCTTTCTTGTACAGCAAAATGCAGATACCCCCGCTTTCAATTTTGATCCATTCACAGAACGTTTTCTTCAAACTTGAAAACTAAAAATATTATTCCCTCAACTGTCATGTCTCTGGGATTAAACTCCTCATTTTCATCTAGTAAGGAGGCAATAAGGAGTAAAATTGTTATAGTTGAGGGATTAAATCACCGGTTTCTTGAGGGAGATATTTGCAAATGTCTCAAAGATTGGGGGGGCATCTGCAACTATTCCCCCTTTTTCATGAACCAGACAGAGCGGAGAAGCAGCTCTCAGAGCTGGCAAAACCAGGGCTATGATGAGGAATGTCAGAGTTTGGTGAGGAGGACCTCAAGGCCCTAGGAGAATCCAAGCTCCTCCTAAGAATCTGTCTCATAGCAGAAATCAAATGAACAGTTGGATTTGCAGGAGGTTCAGAGGTTTTGAACTTCTTGCAGAAATTCATGTGCTTGGTCATTGCCTCTTCTGTACTCACAAGCCTTTCAGACCTCACAATCTCATCTTTCACAGCTTCAGCACATAACCCACAAATCCATTTCCCATAATATCTCTCTCTGATTCTCTCTATGTAGGCTGGTGTGCATTCTTCTGTCAGCCCACAACAGTCACAGATTGCAAATTCAACTTCAATCTGTGAAGCTAGTATCGTAGCTGCAGGTTGAGTTTCTGGTGCTGATATCACCATCGAATCGCCGATCATAGTTGCAGCAGACATTGCCGACCACCCTGTGAGAAAGAAAAGAGCAGAAAGTTTACATCTTGATGCTGATGAATAGGCCCCGAGTTTTTTCCAACTATATTTCCTATCAGGTTCTGTGAGATAACAAATTAACAATGGAAAAAGTTCAAGTTTTTGATTGGGTCTTTCATAAAATATGGTCCACACATCACAGCAAACACCTAAGGAAGTTGATAGTCTGTAGTAATTCTGTTTGGTTGCCGAGAAAAGAGGATAGGCGAAAAGAAGGCAAGAAATGATTTTCCCATCACCGAAAAGAGAATTTCAAGAATGATATGGTTTTAAAGTGAGGAAGAAGCTTCAATATTGAATATCTTAAATGATTAACACAAACTTTGCATGAATCTAGGACTAAAGAAGGTTTCAGGGTAGAAGGAAGGAATAAAACTTTACTGAGAAAAGGACATGGGATACTGCAGAAAACGAATAAGCGTGAAGAGATGAGAAATGAAAGGAAAATTAAGTCGTGAAAACTAAACAATAGATATGATGGAAATTACCAGAAGCAGCAGATCAAAATAAATCAAAATCCCTTTCTTTATCTTTTTTTTCTTTTCCCAGCTTTCTGGGTATTCCTTCTTCTCTTCTTATCTCTCCTTCTCCCACTCTCCCTCCTCAACTTTTTCCAGCTCAGCAAACCAAATCTCAGACATAGAAACCATTGCAGACAAAATCTCAGCCCTTTTGAATCCTTCAATCTCCTCAAAGAAACAAAAGATATTGTTTTTTTCCCTCAAAGGTGATAACTTTGAAGAAACCCAAATCTTTATATAAGCAAACAAAGAGATTGCTTTTTGTTTCTCCGCCACAGAATCCCGCACTCACCTATATATGAACAGGGGAGAACAGAGCAGAGAACACAACTTCTGGAGAGAGAAAATTTTTGGCAAGGGAAAGAAGGCCAATGATTGAGGCTTTAAGGAGGCAGATTGTGTAATGGACTAATGGTGTTGTCCACGTCAGCAATCATTTTTTTGGTGGGAGGATTTTTGGGCGTTGATGATTGGATTGCCAGCTAAGCATCGTATTATTTAATTATTTATTTTGTGATTTGCAGTTGCGTGTGTTTTCTTAGCCAATATGTGCTGTTTCGGAGGAAGTTTTCCTTTTTGACCCATTATTATTATTTTGACCCCGTAATTCATACTTATTAATTAAGCATTAGAGAGGTGCCACGTGTGAATATAATCATGTGAGGTAGGTGTCAGTTGCTGCATTTTCGCGTCCTAATTTGAATTACATCTTGTTTTATGCGAATATTTGTTTTTGTTAAACTATGGGCCTTCTCGAAGTATAATATCGCATTAACATCGATAAGTTTAGTTCATTATCTTTCACTAAACTTCAATATTACACACTGTTTCAAACAACATTAATTGAAGAGAATTGAATTTGTGCATTTTAAAAAAATATTATTCCTACATATAAAAATTAGATAAAAATTTATTTTAATTTTAAATATAAGACCTTAATTCATTTTATTTTTTAGATTTATAATTTTTCACCCAGAGTATCCACGTATTAGAGGACTCCTCGTTATTTAAATGCACATGATTAAATAGAATAATTTAGATAAAGTAAGACAAATTTGTGACAAATAATTAACTTAATTAATTTTTATAATATCTATAAATTAGTTTTCTAGTTTTTTTTTTTCAATGATAGTTAACTTTTACATCAAGAATTTGAGAGATAGCAGTATAATAAATTAATTAATCACAGCCATGTAAAACATGTTAAGCATTAATTTGTTTCTAATATTGATAAAATGTCTAATTTTAGATTAGCTGCTAGTTGCGCTTTTAAGCATCAAATCATTGTATCAAGCCTGAACATAATCAAATTCACCATTACTGATTTTTTCAACGTGATCAAATTGATCACATTTCCACTTTTGATTTATGTAGTTTTAGAAAGGTGGATGATGAATTATTCATTTGGTGGCTAATAATTCTCTAGCTAGCTAGGGTTTTCATATCCATATTTGTGTATTCATATTATTCCACGTTAGACAAAAAATATTAAAGTGACGATCCATAATGAAGAAACACATCACGCAAAAATGTTGGACTAATAATAGATGTATCATAAAGACCAAAATAGAATGTACGTATATGTGTATCACAAATTAATTAAGAGACGAGCTTGTTTGTATTATATTGGGATGATGATAAGACAATGTGACATACTGACATGAACAAGAGAGAAAAAGAATGGGAAATTAAATCAAAGGTGAAATTTGGAGGAATTCAATAATAATTTGGTTGGATGTTTTTTTCTTAAGCAGTGTGTTTCCTACGCAAACCACTAATAATAGCCCCCACATATAGCTAGCTTCCATTATTAATCACTCACTCCTTTCTTATTTGAGCTCTCTCACTTTTTTTTTTTTTTTAAGTTGGTTGGATAAAGTAAATGAACCTACAGAAATGGTTCAAAAATGAATTTTGAAGTTGTTTTTCATCATGATGAGGATTACACATACATATATAAAGGATGGCGAAACCATTGCATTGAAAGAGAGATATTAATTCTTTATTTAGATTTCAGAATATGGAAAATATATTTATGTCAATGACATATTTTTCCAATTATTTCCCCCCCAAAACACTGGTATATTACTCAAAATGTATAATAGTGATAGATCGTAGTAATTATTCATTCTTATTGTAATTTGTGGTTAACTATAGCTAATTATGTAATTATGGTTTAATCATGATGTCCATTACATTTTTTAGCCATAATTAAAGTCACTGTGTAATCATAAGTTCATAACTAAAATTTACACATTTTGCAATTTCTTGCTTTATCAAATCACATATCCAACCACTCCAAACCCAGTACTATCCTCTCTAGTAGTCATAGTCAAATTATGTGGCCGAAATAAAGTCTCATACAAAAAAAAAAAGCCCTGAGCATGCTAATTAATATATTTATTCATAATAATTTTGAACAAAGAAGTCTGTGGATATAGAACTCATATTTATCTATAGTTTATATAACATGAATCACATATAAGAATAAAAAACACAAGTCTCTCAGTCAAATTATAGGTATGAAACTATGCTTAATGCCTATCTATAAAGGTACACACACATATATGTATATATGTATCCTTAAAAACTGTAATGAGTAATGAAACGCACCAAAAATTGACAATATAATAAATGTAAGAAATTAAAGGGCTGCAATTGTACTGCGATATATTAACGCATTTTCACTCATCAATGGGATGTTGAAGAGGGACTAATTAGCAGAAGCCCTTGTCTCCAAATTAATGAATCAGCCAAAACAAACAATTAAAGAACCAGCAAACGAATATATGTGTTGTTTCAATCTTCCTCCTACATGCGTACGTGTCTTGTTAGTTAGTTAGTTTGTTTGTCTTGTGGTTGTAGGTTTGGACGTAGCAGAGCCGAATGAGTGAATGAACATGTTGCTTTTTGCTTAAACACAGCATTAATTAATCATGTATGTGAAAATGTGTGTGTCTGTGTGTTCACATGGTCAAGTGTACCTAATTTCATATCAATACGCAAGTGGTGGCCTCCGTGTTGATCTCTGCATGTGTTTCAGCTTCTAGGTTTCATAGGCTTCTTCTTAACTCTCTCTCCCCTCTCTCTCTCTGTGTGTGTGAAAACCATTTTGAAGCTAATTATACTTTTTTCTCAATCTATATATGTTTTCTTCTCTTAATTAAATCTATAACTTTACTCTATTAGCATCGTTAACTCTTGTAAAAGAGCTAACGGTGCAAATAGACAAAAAAATATGGAGACCTAATAGTATTAAGAGAACAAAATTAAAGAATCTGATTAAAAAAATGTTACATAGATTTCAAATTAAAAAATAATGAGAAAGTATGACTGTATAAATACCTGCAAAATGATCCTATAATTATATATATATATGATATTGCTGAGTTAAATTCAAATATTTTTAGTTCCAATTGAATTAGTTTGATTAACAAGATTTTCTTTGTTCACAAGGTTTGAAACCATCGATCTTCTTTGATTTTTTTTTTTTCCTTTCCATTATTTCTTACTACACAGTCTACACTCTGAATGATAATCTATTAGTTGTTTCTTTTTCTATAGAGACTTTTTTTTTTATGTGTATACGATTTATAATAGATACAGGTCTCATGATTTATAATTGTAAATAAATTACTATCGTGGGAGTATTAATGTTGATTTTATTAGAAAGTAAATGCTTGACATGCATTCATGTTAATTATTCGTGATTAGGATATATTCTAATGACGACTTTTACAATCATAATATAAGTAAAAATATAATTAAGACAGATTGATCATATAGTTAAGGAAATATTTTAGTTACAATTAAACTAATTAATTATTGTCAGTACGTACGCAGGTGTTTTAACCACGGTTTGTTAAAATAAATTAATAATCAATGTTATCCTCAACCTAAATGTGCTCAAATTAAATCTAATTTTCTTTGATACATTCTTTTTGATCTAAAGATAAGCATGTGAATGTAGATAAGTCCAGTCAAATACTGTGTCAAGTATATGAATACTTATTTGTACTCATAAAGGAGTTTTTATACAGGGCTATTTTTACATTTTTTATCTAGAGAAGAACTTTTCTCCCATATAGATATTAAAAAAATTAGTTAAATTAATTATTTATAAAAAATGTATGTTAAGTTTCTTAGAATATTTACTCTAATCATCATTTTTATTTAAAACCACCACGATTGATGAAATTAAAACGTCTTCTCCTCATATAATTAATAGGGATAGTTTGAAAAAATAATTATAAATTTTGGGAAAAAATTCAAATAAATCCTTCAACTATATGCTATATGTAAGGTTAATATTATTTGGTTAAAAGTAGTTCTTCACTGAGTTGAGATATATATATATATATATATATATATATAAAAACTACGACAAAAAGTATCACAAATTAATTCTAAATTCAAAGTTTATTTATTTGACAATGATATATATATTATTATAATAATATGTATCTAGTTGTCCCAAGTTTGTGACTTTCTAGATAACAAGAGAAACTCCTCCTTTTGATGCATATTAATGAAGTAAATTATTGATTATATAACTACAACAACCATGTGCTGTGTTTAAATAGGCCCTAGCATTAGATACAATGAACACTTTCAAATCCACAATTTTCAACAAAAAGAAACAATTAAGAAGGAGGACTGATGTTGCTATATATCTTTGTTTTTTTAACCTTTCCTCATTTCATGTTTAGTTGATAATGCTTGGAGGTTTAGGTCAACCTAAAAACCATGATTGATTATTTTCCTAGCATGTTCGTCTATGTATAGATTGTAACGATTGCTGCGGGATGACATAGTGGCTGATGAAATTTTTCATTAAAAAAAATATTAATTTCATAGCAATAATATTATAATCACGACTTATGTGTCCCTCACTTATCAGGTTAATAATTAATTAATTAATTAAAACTAATCCCATTCAGTAACAGCAAAAGAGAGAGCGATGTAATTCTCTTTGATTTTTTTTAATTCTAATATTCTTCCACACGTATGGGTATATGCTTTTGACGTCAATAATGGAAGTTTCATTTACATAACGTAAGGATTACAAGAATTATATTGTCGCGTGTTAATTTATATTCTTTGAAAATGATCGTCTTAATCTATATATTTTCCCATGGATTTTAATCCAATTTTTTGACGTACTGAAAATGAATCATACTTAAAAAATTCAATAAAAAATTGCATTGAAATGACGATATCATTTTTACGCATTGAGCGAAGTTAGCCGATTTAATACAGTGTAAATGAACTAATTAATTGTATTAGTTGTTTGATATATGGTTGATTAAAGATATAGTTTGACCAAAAAAAGGGACAAATTTAGGATTCTAGAGGCTTCAATTTAATTACCTGTATTAATATATTCTCCACCTTCGTACAATGTATATCTGATTAAATCTTTCAAAAATTTCTTTAAAATAAAAAAAAGAGTTGATGAGTCAATGAAAGTAAGAAAATAGAGGGTACTAAAAGTTTAATTATATATTGATCTTACACGTGTGGGTGTATGAGAGACATTATGTCAACCTCCACACACACACATATTCTTTAATTAGACAAATAAGTTCTCACTTATTTTTATTTTACCAAAAGACAAACCTAAAATATGTGCGATTAATTTGGTCATATCCTTATAATCATGCGCATCCGTAGTTTCTTAATGACTTCAATACGTGCTTTAGAATTAATTATACTCTTAGGTTTTCTTTTTACAACTTTTAGAAGGTTATTAATAATTACTTCAATATCCCAACATATTTTGGCTTTCAGTAAAATGGAAAAAAATTATCTAAAGCGTAATTGTGATTATTGCTGACCTCCATGACACTAGTGGCAGTTATAATAAATCGTCAAATTTCTTTAATGTAAAACCTGCTATACTTAAATTAATGATGTCATATAATTTTATGAAATTGCATGGTATTGCTCCGATCTATAGTCCAGTCTGATTCCATCCAAATAAGCCATATAATAAAATTGAACCATACTGAACTAGACTGATTGGTTGGGTTGCAACAAGTTCTAGACTAAGTGATTCGATCATTTGGTTTGTTTTGGTTTGATATGAGTGATTTTTTTAAATATTTTGCCATTTGAATTTTGCTTTTTATTAGTGAATTCAGTATTATTAGAGATTCTTACGGATTCATGATTAAGTTTTAATATTTTGGGATGAATCTTATATAATTATATGTATTTTGTATAGTCTTAATTGTGTTTCACATAAGGAGGGGGAAAAAAAAGAAAAGCAAATTGAGGTCATGGACCAATGAGGCAATCTAATAGACCAACTAGGTGTTTGGATAACTCTAAAAAGTACTTTTTAAAAATACATTTTTATAAATTAAGATAAATTCTTCTATATATTTACTTTATATACTATAAAAGTATTTTTAAAACTATAGTTTCATTTATATTCAAACACCTTCCAAATCTAGGTCAACCTAATTTTGAGTTCTTGCTGGACTAGACTGAATCATAAGCTGCCAAACCCATCTTGTTCAGAAAGGTATTTAATCCGACTCGATCTTTCCGTTATGCAGAGCTAACACAAATCTAGAGTTTGAGCAGGGGAAAAGAAGGCGAACTCCAAAACTGAAGAAGATTATCAACTTCAACTATACATTTTTTGGGGCAATAATTCAATTATACATTTCTTCTTCTTCTTCTTCTTTTTTGATATAAACTCGATCTCAATTATACAATCTTACTGAAGGTGGTGGTGGTGGGGATGGCGGATAGCATTTAATATATGAATATGTGGTTTCATTTATAAGCATGTGAAGTGAAGTACAGAAATTTAGTGTGTAGTGTGATGGGGATTTATGAACCGATAGGGAATAACAGTTTGGTGATATTTTATTTTCTCCTGCCAGAAGCTAAATCATTAAATTGTTTGTGTTGACCATTACTTAGCTAGTCCACTATACTACATTGTACCATCAATTAATTTCCTTCTTTTTTCTGTCAATTGAATTTTCTTAATCAAAATAACACATGTATTTCTTTTATTTCAATATATACAGACACACATAAAATATGATTCCCTTGAAAATTAAAATGAGATTTGGGAATTTGTAACACAATTTAAGCTATATCGAGTTTTTTCCGCTCAATTCATTGCTATTGATTATATATTTTTACTCTTTATTTCTAGGAAAATTTTGCATGAGTTTAAAATAGAAGAGTTTTGTAAAAATTTGATAAAATTAAAAAAATTATGTAATTTAATTTTTTTTCTTAATAAAAGAAATTGTTGATGGGTGTGTCAGAGTGTGACTGGGGCCTAATAAATTCTGAAAAGGGATAAATTGAATGGTGGCCTCAAGCATATATAGCAAATTGCATAATTGGAGTACGACTTGTTTGGTAAGGCCAGAAAGTTGTTGGGATATTGTTTTCCAAATGTAAAATCAATCTTATCTCATTAACCTCTAAATCAAACCAAAGCCATGGCCACACAACGTGCTATGCATTATCATATCATCACTGCTCTTAAAATCTTCCATTAATTACTTTGTTCTTAGGCTATTCTGCATGTGTTATATCATTATATCAATGTAGGCCCAAACGTAGACATTCTTACCAATTAATCAAACCAAATTTTGTACAACCTAAACTTTGATCTTTGAATTCACATCTCTGATGGTTAAGCTTCTCTTCTGGTTTTATAATCATAGTCTGTCTACAAGTGTATGCAAAGTAGGTTTACTTTGTATGTGTCTGGACATGTTAGGACCATTTCATTTGAAGAGAACTCAAATATGCTGGTTGTAATATCTTCCATTTGAGTAGATTATTCATTTCATGAAATTTCAGACTTGGATTAAGTTAAAGAAAATTACTAAAGAGACACACATCTTTCTTTCATTTGAATTCTAGTTGAGTATGTATTGTGCTCTCTGTAACGCAAGATGGTATTTTTCCTTTATTAAGAAAGCTGGCTTTTCAGATTGAGTGCTTATGATGATATTTTGTTGAAGCTTAACGGGAATGTTGAATTATACAATGTGAAGAGAGTGTCATTTAGTACTAATATATATGTTGTGACCGCTTGTGTTTGAATTTTCTGTTTCAGATCATATTTTGGCATCTTAGCAGCTTGAAGATGATGATACCGTACTCAACAGTGAACTGTTTTGTGTTTATGGCAATAATCAGGATATAGGTTTCCTCTAATAATCCTAACTCTTAAAATTTTATGACGTCAATTACCTGGTCACAGAGTAAGAATATTAATGATGAAAATAGTGAATTCATAATTTCAGACAAATTATTAGGAGAAACAGAATATATATATATTATGTTGAGAGAGAATCTTATCTGTAAAACTCTGGTCAGAGTATCACAGAAACATTGCTTAAATAATATCGTCAATAGTTTTATTTTTCCTTTTAAATATAATTCAGTCTTCCCTGCTATAACTACTCTTATCTGTTCATGATTAAGAATGAGAATAAAGATAATGATGGTAATTGAATACCCATACGATAATTAATTTTCACCAGCATTTTTCGCATATTTAATGCTCTCTGCTTTCTTTTTCCTATATGCTGTGTCAGACAAGCATTGTATCATACGACAACCACTCCTACCTTGATGATGATTTCCAAATGTATTTACAGTTTGATACCCAATTCCAAAGTGTTCAATAAGCTTTAAGTTAATTTTTATCATAATCTTTTACAGCCGACTGGCTTGAATATCGGCCAATACTCTGTTGTTTCCCTTTCTCTATTCACTTCTAATGTTCTTTACCAAAACAAAAACAATTCTTGCCACTAATCCTAAAGTTATGGCTTCTGACTATAATTTTTGCTAACTTGTAATCCTTCAACAATCACCATGGAGAATTACTTTCAGTGATGACATTATTAAGTGCTCATTAGAGATCTTGTTCTGGGAATGAACCCGAGTCCGATTGTGGTTCTTTGTTGAATTGCCATCATTATCAAGGTAGTTTCAATCAAGAAATCAATTTTATTTCTTAAACAGCCACAAGCAGAGTGTGGTCACAACTACTTTTGTGTTTTTTTTTTTTTTTTCGAGCTGAGTGTGGTCACAACTACTTGAAACAATCTTTCTTGGGAAGCCTTGGTCTCCACAAACTTTGAAGGTACAGCAGCACAGAATTGTTCACCTGGGTCCATTTCCGAAGTTAATAATTATGAATTTGTTACAAACTCAATCATGCAAGAGCATGACCTAACTTGCACCAACCTCATAATGATGACAAAAACCAGAAGAATTCACGGACTTTCAGAACAAATGATTCATGGTGGACATGAAGGTAATCAAACATGCAATTATAACATCAATGATACAGCAGACAATTTCTTTCAGATAAGAATGGAATCATCTTCTTAGTTTACTTTTCCAGTCAGTTTCTTTACAGAACCGGAGCTTTGGGAAACCATTTACAATTGCTCTTCCCTGACCATACGCCATCCTCAATATAATCCTTCGATGAGCAGCTTTCCAAAAATCCCTACTTCTAGTATAGTTACGAGATTGATGGTTCAGAAAAACTCAAAAAGGCTACCTCTGCTAGAGTTAGTTCCGAGATTATTGGGATTTGGGGGGGGGGGGGGGCACCCAACCTCAGCTACGAATTAAATTTAATATTGATGCTGTGAATTCACCCACAACGCTACCTCTGGAGTTCTATGATCCTATTCCGCCTCAAGTTCTTTGATTAGCATTTCGATCTGTCTTATATAAACTGGCATGAAGTGATCACTTATCATGGTCTGTGAAAGCCTCACCTTACTGTATAAAGACCTTGAAGTTAGGAAAATCCCTATCTTGGTCTCATCTGGCTGGCTATTGTCTGAACTAGAAGAGGTTGGGCTGGCTTCATTTTCTTCACACTTTGCGGGACTAGAGTTTAACGTAACAATGTGCATTATCCTTCCTGGGGGGAAGAATCTGTGAACTTCCTTCACTTGGGGTGCCAAACTCAAGGCTTGGCTATTGGTTTCCTCCTCCATGGTTGCCACTTCTTCTTCCCTTGTCTCGTTTGTCACATCAGCCTCCTCTGCTTCGGTTCTGTCACACAACTCATGCTTTAGTTGTTGCCATGACTCCACTTCATTCATTGAATTCCCAGGTCTGTGATGGTCTTCATCACTGTCGTTATCAACATCCCCCTCAGAATCTGAATTCATTTTACCTACAGGTGAAGAAACAGGCAACTCTATGTTCTGAACGGCAGCCACATGCACGCCCTTCCTGGAAGATAGAAGTGGTTCAGAAGTTTCCTCTATGTCAAAGGCTGAACATTTAGAAGAGTTCACCTCTTCTGTGCAGTTTGAGTGTGCATCCACCATGACACGGCAGCGGGGACCCATACACGACAAAGATGAGAGGCCAAGGGCAGGACGTCTCCATGCTGCCTGAGCCACACTATGAGCCCTCCTCATCACAACCTACAGTTGCTCAAAGTTAAAGTCCGAAAGCATACAAGTCAACGAGGACGATGAAGTAAACTTCTGATACAACCAGGCCAAGCAAACCCATACGCGCTTATGAATGAAGACACTAAAGCTTTTAATTTTTCAGAAGGGAAAGTCTATTGAGTCCTTGTTTTGGTAATAATTCGTTGTGGATTAATAACTGGCTGTAAGAAAGTGATCAATCCATATCAGAAGAAGAAAAATACCTGGGTGCCATTGGAAACTGGTCGTAAAATTGCCCCAGCGCCAGCAACCGTTGCTCTAGCAGTGGCAATGGATGGGAGGTGCGAACCCAATGCTGAAGCAGAACGGTAAACGGTACTCAGGATTCTTGTCTGCTCAATTTGATTCCTCAAGTCATTTATCCATGCTGATGCTGTCACCTGCAGATGACTATACTCAGCCTGGTACTTTATTCAGGCTGCTAATCAGCTGCAAAATAACTTTGTGCTAAAGAATTTGACTTCATGAGATGATTAAAACTTCAGACATAGGAACTCTTTCCAAAATATTCCACAACTCCTTTCGCACACAGTTCTAAGGGAAATTAAAGAAATTCATGACGATCAATGTGTCACTGACAACAAAACTAAAAAACTAAATTGGAGAGTTTTCCCATAGCCCAGCACTATTCCCCCTAAGGATGTTGATATTGCTACAAGAACACTAACTTTATGATCTCCTACTACAATCACATAAGTAATTTAGTGTTCTGGATTTTATTAACTACTATAATTTAAACCAGACCAAGAGCCGGCCCAAGGTCATGTCTTCCCAATAAAATAGAAATAGTAATCCAGCATTGCAAGGTATGACATACTGCTCAATAACCCAAGTCTACAACATTTTTCAAATCTCATATAAAACTGCATAAAATGAAACGTATAATTTAAAAATGACCTCAGCACGCAAGTCATCCACAGAAGCAGCGGAGAATGTAGGCACCAAATCAGCTCCATTTATAACAGAAGTAATAAAATCATTGCCTGACTCTGCCAACTCCCACGTCATACAAGCACCTGCAAGAGTAACATGCAGTAAACACCAAGAAATGAATGAATACTCAGTTTCACAGTTATAGATGATGAACCAATATAAGCCCAAATGATTCAGGGTATTGGCCTAGTATCCATATAATCTGAGTATAAACAGAGTCATTTATGAATCAAGGAATATAACTTCAGTACATTCAGTATCTTAGACAAACCTGGAGCAAATGTAACGCATGAAGTCTCTGACAATTCCTTTTGCTCTCTTAATATATATGTTAGAAGTGCTGCTGTGCCTCCACCCAAAGAATGACCTACAATCTAAAAAGAAGAACTTCAAACAAAATAATCCTGGAAACATCAAACTAAAGCATTTTAGAATTAAATAGCCACATAATATATTATATGCTCCAAAACAATTTCAACTTCAAATAAAATAACTCTTTTTTTTGTCAGACTTCGTTGTCATCAGTTCTTTCATATGATTGACAAATTCAAACTAATCGTGACTATAATCTATAACATCTTCACAAGCACTAGCTATCCACAACTGATCGCCAGATAAGACGAGAACACGGAGACCATCTGCAACATTAGCCCTTAGTAATTAATTAAAGTCAATATGATTACAGGGGAAATGATCTTTACCTTAACTTTATAGTCAGGGTTTCTGCCAAGTGCTTCAATAAGACAAGGAGTAGCGAGCTTTGCAATCCACCGTGCAGCTGCAACCATTCCACAATGTGCATATCCTAAGACTAAATCCCTAACACCACCCTCATGCACTACAGTGTGATGAAATGGTACCACAGCTCCTGTAGCTGCTGTTAGAGTATCCTTGATACTATGTGTGCCACGAATCAACAGGAGAAAACATCTTGTCTTATGATCAGCAATTACTGTAAATGCTGGCTTCAAAATCTGCATGACAATAACCAGAAAATTCAGACAAATATAGTCCTGTGAATCCAAAAGATATTAGAAAATATGGACCTCTCGGAATTCCCAGTACAATTGTACAACTCTTTGAAACCAATTAGTCATTTACTACCCCTTAAGAAAAAAAAAGCATCGAACTCTTCAGTCATCCGTCCTTCCACAAAAGAAAGGAATGTGAACAATGATATCAATAACATAATTGGCGGAGAGTACCCTGGAAACCCCCCCCCCCAAAAAAAAAAAAAAAAAAGCACTTACTCCTGCTTTAGGCTCTTGAAGGAGAACGTTCTCTTCACTGTAGCCAGTTTCTTCCAAAAACAAAGGAAGTGGCTTCTTTGAAAAATGCCAACAGAGTGTCAGCAAATTTAAGAGATATTTAAGTTGAGCATTAATCTCAGATCCTTTCAACCGTATACTATCTCTGCCAGCGAACACACTGTCAACAAGAAAGTTTCCCTACAAAGTTTGACCATGACATATTAATATTTAAAGTAGTTAGCAAAAGGAGGGAACCAGCAAAGAAGAAAAATTCACTCACCTGTCTCTTCAATAGAAAGCTGATACCAAATGCCAAATCCCCAATGGGCCACTTCCCAAGAGTCTCTGAATATGTAAAACGGAGAGTCTCTGACAGTGTTGATATTGTCTCCAACCACGTGGCAGGGGCTTGTGTTAATCTATGAGAAACACGGTCAATTCCTATAGGCATCTTTGTGGATGCGTCATCGACACTAAAATTTTCTTCGTTGTCTCCCTTGCTTGTGCAGCACTGTAATCTCCGATTCAACGTATAGTATAAGAAAGCCGCCGCACCGGCCGCCGTAGCCACGGTTGCAGTTGCCATGATTGTATTATCCCTGTAATAACAATCCACCATTACATATATTGATAAAAGATGACAAAACATGGTATATCATATGATCAAAAGAAATTGGGAAAAAACAAATCCATATGGTTTCGTCATTTTCCAACTTCAAATACTTCATCTTCCTTCCTATGAACGAATGAATAAACTAAGATAAATGGAACTGCATTATCATCAATCATAATTACAGAAACAGAGTTCTTGAGAGAGATTGAGCCTGACATTTCCCGATCTCAGAGGCGTTCGAACAGCAGAAACATAGAGCGCGCGAGAGATGATAGATTCAATCAGCACACTAATTGAAAATGATGTTTAAAAAAAAAAATAAGACTTTAAAAAATACAAACAATACATTAAAAAGGAAGAGACAGAATCATCATAGGGAAAATTCAAATTAAAAAAAAAAAAAAAAAACCTGAAGAACATGAAGAGATGCAGAATCTCAAACCCCCTAAAGATAGAAAATGGGAGAAAGAGAATTGAGAGAAGCTGGAAAATCAGATTTTGGCTAAAAATAGTTTGGTCCCAAAGGCATGAAAAGTTTCCACTGAAGCATCTAATTTTAACGAATGAGATACTCTATTTTACTTCAATACATATCTAATTTTAACGAATGAGATTATCAATTTTGCTTCAATACATAAAAAATATTGAAATAAAAACAGCGTTTGTTTTCTTGACCAGAAAGATACAGCGGTTGTTGATTGTAGGTTGGGAACGTAGGAGGTAGCAGCATCAAATCAAAAGCAGAAACAGTTAGTTTAACGGTAACGTGGCGCATGGGAGATGGATCAAGTTGAAAAGGTACTAAGAACGTACGTGACGACGACTGCCAACCATTCGGTTCTTGTATTTCTTTGTCTATCTTAGTCTTTTGAGCTGCATCTCCGCGTAAGAACTAGTTGATTGACTTAACTATATTAAAAAAATAAATTAAGTTAGTTATTTATAATAAATAAGTGTTGGTTTTTCTAAAATATCCTTGTTAATCAAATTTATTAGGTAGAACTATCATTATTAAAAAAACTATTTCTAAAAAAAATAAATAAATATGAGAAATAAATTAAATTAGAGTCTTCAAATAAGATTTTATATTAAGAACTAGAAGTAATATTAAAGTAGAGCATCCTACTCATTAACCTCAGTTTGTAAAATATTTCTTAAATAAATTACGAAAACTAATAAAACTCATTTAAATTTAGTTATAAACTTGAATTTAAAAAATATGTACTCCTCCGGTCCTTATTATAAGACCCCATTTGACTTTTTATTTGGTCCCAATTATAAGACCCCAATCTATTTTGTCTCTTATATTTATGCATTTTTTTCCAAGATAATCCTTCTAATAATAATAGTTTTAGCCAATATACTTAATTAGCAAGGATATTTTAGGAATGACAACACTTATTTATTATAAATAACTACCTTAACTTACTTCCTTAATCTTCTCAAATAAGTCAATTGGGTCTTATAATTAGGACCGGAGGAGTATAACTTTCAAAAATGAATAGTACTCGTATCAAATCTTTTATATCCATTATACTAAAATTTTCAATTATAAACGATTATATATCCTATTTTTAAAATACAATTATTTAGTTATACACTCACGAAACTATTTTTAAAATATTGCATAGACAGAGACGGAGGCACTACTGGATAATTAAAAACACCTCTTCTTATACTCTCTCGGTCCTTTTCTTAATATAAGACCTAATTATTAAGTTAATTTTAATCTTAAATATAATACCTATTTCTCATATTTATCAGTTTTTCTTAAATTACCCCTATAGATACTCCTTCAACCAACCGTAATTAAATAGAAAAAAAAGAGAGGATATTAAGGAAAATGATTATGATGTTTTAGGAAAAACATATCATATTTCTTATAATTAACTAACTTACTTAACTTCCTTAATCTAATCAAATTAATTAAATAGATCTTATACTAAGGACTGGAAGAGTAATTAAAACTGTATCTATAATTTTAAATTTGAAATTTGTATTGCCAGGAATCGAGATCCTGATGCAAGTTTATGAAGGCTGCCAAAGGCTACAGAGATGAATCTGGCAAGAAGGTTAGTAAGTTGTATGGTTTATAAAAACTCTGAAGAGCCGTAATATAGACCCTTCCTTAGACATGTATAACTATGACACTTGAGGGAGAATGAGAATTGGCAAATATCAATTCAGATATCAGAGAAAATCAGGGATAAGAATTCGCAAGCTCCATAATTTAAGCTAAACTGATGAAATTAAACAATCATCCTCATCATATTGAATTCAAGAATTTTTTCCCAAGATCTCTCACAATGGCTTAGAACTCAATCACGCTCACTTATGGCAGTCAAGTGTTCATCAATCTCCTCGGTGGATAGAACTCTGAACTTCGCATTGTCCTTCTGCACTACCCCAACCTGCAAAATGCACAATATAATTTTATTTTCACTCATATTTTATGTGTTTAAGAATAACATTTGTGGCATCATCGTAACGTGGAAATGGTCACGATCCTGGGAATGATTATGTAAGAGAAGTGAGCATGCTTCTCGAACAGATGAAATCATAACCACACACACACACACACACACAAAGACCTAAAACACACCCATTTTCGGTTTCAGACAGTCAAGTAAGGAATCATATACGATGATACAATAAAATTAATGCAGCTGTGAAAAAAAAAGATAATTGGTACCTCAATCTCAGTGGCCTTGAAATCCTCCTGAAGAACTGATTGCAGTGCAGATATAGCAGTCTGAGAAGAGTAACAGAGAAATTTAAGAATCATTGTAGACATTATTAAGTGATTTTGGGCATTATACGAAATAAATATCTTGGAGAAATTTTGTCTCATAATGCAAAAGCACTTATTTTATGCGCTCCAAACACCAGCCGAATCTGAATGTGCTACACATTGCTAAACTGGGGAGGGGAGAACCAAACCTGCATTCCTAACCCTTGGTGGCGATTCATGCTACCAACAAGCCAGGGGTCACGCGGGAATTCAAAGTTATTTCTCCTTTTTTATTTTTTTCAAAAGTTCCTTTTTTTCTTTTAGTTTTTCTAAATAATGCTTTTGATTAGGATGATATGATCTTACAATTAACAAACAGCAGATTTAAAATCTCATGCACTACCGTATGAGATAGCTATGGTACGAAATGTTTCCATCAGAATAAGCAAGGGTCATTACATGACTCAACCTAAGCCATCAGAAAGGTAATAATACATACCTGCACCGTCTCTTCAAAGGTGAACGAAGGGTCATTCTTCATCTTCTTCTCTAAGAAATTAATTGCCTCTTGATCTTTCAAACCAGCACTTGTAGCCTGAATAATCATGCATTCAAAATAAAAAAAAATTACCTCGTTGCATGCATTGCATAAGCAAATACATCCATCAACAATTTAACCCGCTTCACCAGTTAATGAATAACATCATAAAGAAGCAATGGGACCATCATTCATCGACTAGAGACTAAAGCCCAGAACCATGCTTAAATTAACTTCGGTCTCCATGCATTGGCCTTTCTTTCAATAAGGTAAGGCAATGAATTTAAGATTTAAATCACATCAATACATGATCTGAAATGTACCTTGTGACCAAAGTAATGGCCAGCTGGATCACACTTATAAAGACGAGGTCCATATTCTTCATCAATTCCCAACACCATAGCAACTTCCCAGAAGAAACAGAATGGAAAACAAGGGAAGCAGAAATAAAATAAATGATGGAAAATGAAATTAAAAAAAAATGACCATGAATGATTAGATGATTTAATGTTTAACCAAAAAGAAAATAAGAAAAGAAAACTTTTGGCAGAAAGAAGTAATACAGACCTACACCAAGTGGTCTCATGTAAGCATGCTGCGTATAGACTTGTGACTTGTCAGCAATCCTGTGCAATAAAAGTTCTCAACAACGATTAGATACAGGAGCTGATACAAGAAATACGTCTGACAGCTCAAAAGGAGTAACCGGATGATGTTATGATAAGATTCATTAGACAGATTAAGAAATCTGTGACCTATCAAAGGAAGTGAGTTTGAACTATTTTGCTACTGTTCATTCTTTAAAACTTTATTCCAAGTCTGTTGTGAACCTTGCCCGAAGGTCCCAAACATCTTCCAATCTAACTATCCTTAAATACAAGTCCCAAAGCAAAATATAAATGTAAGTGTAAGAACCGCTTTGCAACTAACAATGTTCTCTAATGAATCAGAGAAATCAACCAGACTGTCAGACAGGTATATAGAATTATTAGACTTCTCTTTTCCAAAAGGTTCTTGAATGATTTTTAAACAAAGGAACAAATCATGAATAAAGACTGGGATCAACCAACAGCCTCATGCTCTGCTCCAAAATTGGTGAAATGTATACCACACATTTGAACTGTGGAGGATATATGTCTACATGCTGTTTCATTGATTAAATTGAACAAATGAAACAGTATGTAGACATATACATAATAGTACGAGTTGCAGGAACAGAAATGAAACAAAGCAATAAGTTCCAAACAATACTTGCTGAATATCTTGTTCAAAAATAAATAACATACCACTTAGCCAATACATCCACGGGCATCTCATACCCATATGTAAAGCGAAACTCAGCTGCTTCGTTCCTTGCTTGCTGGACCAATGTCCTTGCGTCAGCTGGAAAGACATATTATAAAACAAAAGTGAACTTGCAGGGTTAACAACAGTATATATTCAACTTATTTCTTTACTGAAATGTTAAAGTTATCTCACTAAAAGCTTACTTTTACGACAGACACTCTTATTAACGTCCCTACTGCAACCACACATCAAGTAAACTCCAAAGCAATTTTGCCAGAGAATTTGGGTCTAGAAGAAAATCTATCCATAATTTTGAGGTCAACTTATCATATTTCTAAACTCCCCTTGGTTTCAAATTACTAGTAAAAGAGAAAAGGTTCGCCTGTATCTGCGGAGGCTGAACTTTCAAAAGGATCATATTTGACACTACCAACAAATAGGAATCTACATGTAAACCATTATTGTCCATTTCAACATAGCCCCTTTGTCTTCTGCTCACTAAGAAGTCGTTAACCACTCTGCTAACAGAAACTCAGGATCATAAATTTACCAAGACGGAATAGAATGCAATCATAAAATCGCCAGTAACTAGCAACCAAATTAATGAAGCACCACCCTAGCTCAATCATTTAACTGAGATTTTCATAAATTCATTAGAATGTATGCACCAAGCAAGCATTATTGAGAGTCTAGACTTTGAAAAATTTTCCAACCTGTCAGCCCAGTCGCTAATAAACCAACGTACTCGGTGATGGGAAAGAGATGCGTAACACTGGTCTGATCCAAGAGCTTGTCCTGTAGTAAGATTTGAAATTTAAGCAACTGCACAACTACGCAAAAGAATACACAACAAACTAAATGCACTCACCGGAACCTTT